TCCCGAGCGCGGATCTTAATTCTCTTTCTTAGTTATACCGGAAAATATATAAAAAATAAGGAATCATAGGTGTATTATTGTTACTCAAGTTCTTTATTATTAATTGGCACAGCAACGTATGATTGTTCTTGTAATTTTACATAAATACAAGTTGTTATTAGCGTTTCTACTAAAATAGCTCTTTCAATATTCGTTTCGTGGCATTTATGTAAAAATAATTCACTGGTGTACATAAATTGATTTCCTTGAGCAGCAAATAGTTCATTGCTAACAATTCCATAAATAATAGCATAATGCTGTCTGGCACAGTCACATATTGCTTGCATACAATTACAACGGGATAACTTAATAAAACAATATATTACACCAAACTTAACCTGATCGTTTTCCAAATATTGTACGACTGAAGACTGTGTTTGCAAATCTTCCTTATACATTTCATATATTTTATTATTTTTTAAAAGTCTAAAATACAGCTGCCATACTGTAATGTCATTAACTAATATACCAGTATGTTGCATTGCTTCGAAAACAATATCCGGTATTTCGTTAAGATTTTTATAAACACCTACGCTGTAGCAATGTTCATGCACTGGCTCTATTATCTTTACTTGTTTTTTTTTTCGTAAACAAAAATTACGAACATCTCCATCGGGTAATAATTCTATAAATCTCATCATTTTTATAAATTGATGTTGTGATTGTGCTATTTGAGTATCAATATGGCATGTACCGTGTATTAATTTTAATAATTTACCATTTAAATCTTCGTATTCGTAACATGTATAGGCCCACAACGGTCCAAGCATTTGTACACAATCGGGTAAATGCAGCAATTGATGTAAATTAATAGAACAGTGTTCAATACCATATAAAATTTGAAATTCTCTTACGAATCTATGCAATAAATCTCGTGCTATTTCTATCATACACTCTGTAATAGAGTCTGAACTTAAAATAGACAATGCCATTATCAACCTTAAAAAGTGTTCAAAATAATCTAAACGCATGATTCCTTCAAAGATCGGTATAGAATAGTAAAAGCAAAACATTTTTAGTTCTGACGTTTTCCAGTGAATCAAATCTACAATTGAACGAGGCATACGATGGACGAATTTCGGTGGTTTGATAGCCATTAATCGATTATTTATCTCATCAATAACAGCGTACAACGAAAAGACATTATTCTTAAATTTAGCGTCAGTCAATAAATTTAAAATTTTTTTAATGACACCACCATCCGCACAGTGCATACGGTCTATAGCAATACCTTTAATAAAGTCTGGCATAATTTTGGAAAAAGCATTATGACCTTTTACACCCATAATTGGATGATCTGGCGTCGCTAGATTAGCATATTCAATACATTGCTCTGATGTTCTTAATTGTAATTGGTTCTCATATGAGTATATGTGGACAAAACCTTTTGGGAGTATTGGAACTCTTTCTCCTTTACACAGACATGATGGACAACCAAAATCGCCATTAAATTGTATAAAATTTAAACATTCACTTCTAGCTGGGAGATCACAAGTTCCCATTAAAGCTATTCCCCTGACAATAATATTATTATTTTCAGGAAGATTGATTTCGATTCCTTCAGCAATGTTTTCTAGTTCTTTTCGAAACTTGTAAATTAAGAAATTCATATGTGGTTTTTTATCGTCAAACCAATAACCCAGAAGTAGAGTATTTTCTCTTTTTTTACGTTCCTTAAATGGCAATTCATTAATTGTTAAATATACAGGCCATATGCTAATTTTTGATGACTTAAATACGGGTATGCCATCAGTGTACCAACTAAAAGAAATATTATGACAATTAGACAAGAAACCATTGTTGACCCATGCTTGATATAATTGTCCATCATAAATATCTGTGATGGTGCCCGGGAAAGGTACGGGCCTTTGAAATCGCCATTGAAGTTGATTGTAAAATCCGTTTCGCATGTACATTTCTTTCAATTGGTTTACAATAGGTAATTGAACAAAATAAGAGTTCTTTTTTGTAGGACATGATGGACATTGATCATTTTTCGTTCTTAATTCTCGAGTGCAAAACTTACAATAATAATGTTTAATAATATTAGTTTGATTGAGACGAAAATACTTTCGAAATTTATATAAACTATTTCTTTTTAAGCCTTCACGCAAGCAATGCAATTCTAAAGCTATAATGATATCCTCTATGCATGTCATTGTTAAATTATGATGTAAAAGAAGACTTAAAATTATCAACATGCTTGCCCCAACAGTTATCTCAGCACCATGGTACAATGGTTGATTTTGATCAATATCGTTACGTCTATCATACTCTTCATGTTCTTGCTCATGTTCCCGATCATCAATATACGATTCATTGTATTCCTCTTCATCACTTAGATCTAAATCTTCATTCCTCGATTGATCGTATTCCTTTTCATTTTCTGAAGGATAATCATTGCTGGTTTCACTATTATTGTCTGAAGTTTCATTATCTTCACTTCGATCATACGGTTGGTAAAGGTTACTGCAATACGTCCAGAATTTTTTAAAAATGTTAAGTTAATGTTAAGTTTATGTTAAGTTAATGTTAAGTTAAATGTTAATATTGTTAAGTTTTTATATGTTTACAATATTACTGATATTATACAATATATTATATATATATTATATATATTATATATATTACTTTATACAAATTATTTTACATAAGATAAATCACAATTCGAATTGTGTTTTTGTTTCGTTGAAAATTGCAGAAAGAAAGAAAAAAATTTAATGTTATATTGTAATAAAATATATTTTTTAACTTGCCTTTTTCGTAAATGCACAACACAAAGGAAAAATACAAGTTTATTATTTTTTTACTGGAATTACATTTATAAAATTCGACCCTTCTGGGCATTCTACATATATTACAGTAATAAAAGTATTAAAGTAAGATAATAGACAAGAATTAACAGTATATAAAACATTTTATCTTATTCTGAAATATTTTGAAAGAAAACATTTTTAATGGCCCATTTTTCAATAACTTTAATATTATTTATTATGTATTTCAGCACATAAATTTAGTTATTTCCGTATTTATATTAAGAATTAGAATTCCGTATTTATATTAAGAATTAGAATAAAATTAACTTACTTCTCATAATCAGGTGATAAAGGTCTTATATGATTTTCAGGATTTTTATTTACACTTCGAAAAATATTGTTTAACCGGTTACGCCGTTGTCTCATGCTAACCTCTTGCAACGATTTATGTGACATATTGTCGAGTTTACTGATTTTTACAGCTAGCACTAGATCACAAATTATATACTTAAATTATATATATAAAACGAAAGTCTCTTTCGTCACGTGATATATATCTGACGCCAATCGATTTTTAAGCATTTTGTTTACGCGGTTGTCAAGCGATTTGTTGCCAAATTCTCAACATGTAAATGTGATTAAGACGCAGTAAACAGTATCTTTTTAATTCAGTGCAGTTCTGGTGATAATTATTAATTCAGTTTAGTATTATATAATGCCACGTGGAAAAAAACAGTTTGCGCTTATTTGGTGGATTTCGAGTGGCCAAACAGATGTAGTGCCGTTATCAACGATTCCTAAAAAACATCAAGAAATCGATGCTATAACCACTCTTGTTTGGAAAGATTTGAAGACGGGAAAAGAAACCAAGCAAGAAGCAAAAGTGATTGAAATAAGCAGTATGTACATATTTTAAGATTAAATACAAATATAATAATATAATAATATATAATATAATAAAATAAAATAATATAATCTAATACAATAATAATAATAAAATATAATAATAAAAATAAATAATAATAAATATAATAATATAATAATAATAAATATAATAATAATATAATAATATAATAATAATAAATATAATAATAAAATAAATAATAATATATAATATTTTTATTAATATTTAGGTAACTAAAATGAACTCCATCGAAGAATAATAACAAGTCATGGAGAACTTCATGATTTATCAAACAAAATTTTTACGACAGAAGTACTCAGTAATCAAGAGAATAATACAAAAAATAAGAAGTTGGTTAAAAAAATACAAAGATCTGTCAAAAAAACGGTCGAGGAAAATATTAGAAAAGATCATCCTATAGCTCATGTTGAAAATGCTGAACCATTTAATATCCTAACCATTTAGTATCCTAAAACGAACCTATCATCAATGCCACATCATGCTTTACCACCAGTCTTGCCTTCGTGTACCATCAAATCGTCCAACTTATCTCAGTATAACAATCAATTTCAAATGAACTCATATGTGACACACTCAACATCAATACCAATTGCTTCAACATCTAGAAATCTATCTACTTCCGTACCAACAATTACTTCACCTGCATTATATTCATCGTCAGTACTCAGTCATTCTCAGACTTCAAACTCATCGTCAAATTTAGCACAATCAAGTCCACTGCCTACTTCAACACAATATCAAACTATTTTACCGGTATCTAATTATTCTAATGCTACAACCTCCTTTCCATCGACACTTATTAATTCTGGATCAGTACTTGTTCATCAAAATATAGACGATCAAAACGATGAACTAGAAACTTCTTATAAAGACAAAAGTCTCGGAAAAAATAAAACAGATGATGAAACAACTAATTCTGAGAGTTCTGACAATGAAAGCATTAACGGTGATGCTGGAATTTTTTCTAGGATTGCATTAGGGACGGGTAAATGTTCTAATTATTATTATTAATATCATTTTTATTAATACTACTTTTACAGCAAAAATAATGTAATTGTTAAATATGTTTTACGCTATTTAAATATCACGAAATGCAGAGTTGGGTAGAAATTAGTTAAAAATTAAAGTTAATATTGATGTTAAAAAGTTAATAATTTTTTACTTAATTTAGTTAATTTGCATTGTTACAGTGACAGATAGGGACATTCATTTCCAACAACAATTATTAAAAGCAATGATACAATCTCGCGAAAATCAATTAAAAATGGATGTCAATTCGAAGGAAACATTCCCGGTAGCGTATGCATTATAATTCTTAAAATTTAATAAAAAACTGGATTTAAAAAACATTTTGTATGTAATTCTTTAGGTACCACTTCACTATTTTGAAAAGGGGGACAAAAAGGTATAAACACTGATCGACAAATAAAATTCAGCGAATTAATCTTGTACAATAATCATGTACCTTATTACTAAATTTTTTTATATAATATTAATCACAGGTAGAAATAGCACCAAATTGTGGTTTTTATTTACCCAAAATTCGAGCATCAACTATAGAAACGGAAGCGGCTACTCGCGATGACTGGAAAATAATTGTACGTGAGACTCTTTTAGATGTCTATGGTTCAAGCATTGTAAACTATTCTGCCACTGGAAAAAGAGGTACTCGGTCAGGAATAGATTGCAAATTATTTAAAGGGTTATATGGCAAGTATATAAAATAATAATAAATAATAAATAATAAATAATAAATAATAAATAATAAATAATAAATAATAAATAATAAATAATAAATAATAAATAATAAATAATATAAATAATTGGTACAAAATAATTGTTGAATTAAAATGTTGATTTTTCTAAAGATTGGGTAAATCAGAAAGCGTCTCAGTCAGTTTCTAAAAAAAATTTCATCGACTACATCAATAAAATGGCATCTAACAAACGGAAATATCAAAAGTCATCTAAATTGCAATTAAAAAAAAGAAAGATAGAAAAATTGAAAGAGAAAATTACAAAGGAAAAAGAAAATTCGCTGGCTAAAAGATTTGGTAAATATTTTATCACTTTGAAGTATATTTTTTAACTATTTGATTTGATTATTATTATTAATTATGGGCTATTATTTATTGTCTAGATACTCCGATATTATCAAATGATCGAAATGATGAATTTAGTACAAATGATCAAATGATCGAATTTAGTACAAATATTCCAATGTCCACAAATACAAACTACGAGGAAAATGAGTACAGATTGACTACTCTATAATGGCTCAATCAGGTGTCATCACTGTATTCTATAATCACAGGATCCGACGAGCAGATATTGAGGTGTATATGAAAGATATTGTAAGGCACCTACCACCGATCGTACGCGAGCGTTACGACGCGTCGAAGAGCACGGTATCACGCACCGAAAGCGTGCTACGCCGATTATCGTCCTCCGCGGAAACACACGAAGGAACCGTGTCCGAAATCGGGCGTACCCTTCGAGAACCGTCGAAGGGAATCGCGGTATCGGCCGTTGGCGAAAAGACGGCACTTCGCACCGAAACAGTATCGCGCGTGGTCGTTCTCGTTCCCGCGATATATACCGTACGATTCGTGCCAGAAGTCACGCTCGATCACGACTACCTTACACTTTTAATATCTTTGTGATAATACTTGTAATTGAAATAATAAAGTTAATAGGACTCTCGATCACGACTACCTTACAGCAAATATCTCAGAAGTGGGATCGACGAACTCGAAAAGCCACGGACCCTCGGCCAAAAGGGTCAAAAAAATTTTTTTCCCTTCTCGAACAATAAATCGCGGCAGTGAGTGCAAGAGTAAGTGCTCCAAGTGAAAACCGCATGCCGTGGACGAGAAAGCAGATCATGGCAGAGCGGAACAGACTCGACGCCTTGACCCTGGCAGAGCTGCAAGAAGAAGCAACCCGCTACGGTCTCTCGGCGAATGGAGATCAGGTCACCCTGATCGAAGCAATTATGTCGGCCATAGAAAGAGGCGACAAGACTCTCATCCAGACAACACGAAAACAAGACCAGAAGGCGTCAATCACTCTAAGCGGAGACGATCGAACGCTCCCACGGAATTTAATAAGGCAGACGCCGGAAGAACCATTGCAACAAGTCCTATCCGCAATGGGTCAACTATTGCGTTCCCAGCAGGAGGCGCAACAGCAACAACAGAGGTTCATGGAGGACCAGCAAAGACAATTAACGCAGTTGTGCCAGGCGATGGTGGCCCAAACCCGGACGGTGGCGGCCACAGATAGAGAGGAAGCTTCTCTACTCGACATGTCCACGGGTCGAGGAGAGGCTCCACCGAACGCGGGACAGACTATCACGACGTTGATACCACAGGTGAACGAGCGACCGCCGACGGGTTCCTTCGTTTCGTGCATCGCGGGACAGATACCCGAGTTCGGCGGGACGGAAGACGACAACGTCACCGTGTGGATCAGTCGGGTAGACAAGGTGGCGCGGGTGCACGACGCGAGCGACGGAGTGACTCTCCTCGCCGCCTCCAGCCGCTTGACAAAATCGGCCAGAAAATGGTACGATATACAAGTGGGATCAGTTCTCGAGTCATGGGGCAGCCTGAAGATCGAACTAATTAAGATGTTCGAAAGAAAGGTACCCTTCTACAAGCTCATGCAAAGAGTCGAGGCCAGGAAGTGGGCCCCACAGAAGGAAACCTTCGATGAGTATGCAATTGAAAAACTCGCGTTAATACACCGCCTCAACGTGCCAACCACCGACACCATTGAATTATTGGTGG